AATTCTGGTTTTCAGTCCCCATCCTCCCTGTCCCCACCCTGCCCCAACCCTGACTTTCAACAGTAAGCCTGGATCCAATCTCAGCTTTTGCATGGCACACTTTTAGTCCCTCTGCCATATGGGACAAAAAGCCTTGGATCAGAGGCTAAACGTCTCCAGGCTTCAATCTTGTAAGCCTCTCGGGTTTCCATTCCACTTTAGGTCCACCAAAAGGTTTATTTGACTTTTGAACTTGGTCTCGTCTTACACTTTATTTTCCATTGCTATGTACTGCAAACTTGTGGGGCCATCTTGACTAGAAGTTTGTGGTATCCTCATTCTCAGAAATGCACTGAAAGAGAGTGATTAGCTTGCCCTAAGTTACAAACCCAACCAATGGTATAGTCTGGGCTTCAATCAAGTCTTCCATTTGGTTTTGATAATCCAAGCTTATTCCATTTTACAGAGAGCTGCACTCAGCTGTGTTGACACAAGAAAGCATGTGACAGAGAGTCTGAGGGCCAGTACTCCAGTTCAGACTCTGTCAGTTGTGTGTGCCTCTTGGCTGCAGTTTGCTTACTGAACAGCAGCAATACAGGCATGTGTTGCTAAATGATGAGGATATGTTCTGAGAAATGTATCGTTAGGAGATTCTGTCATGATGTGAACATCACAGAGTATATTCACACAGACCTAGATAGTATATTTTTATTATATGGGAAACCAAATGTCCCAGCACCATTACTGAATATCAGTCATTTTTCCTGCTTAATCTGCAGTGCTGCATATCAGGTTTCTATATATGCACTATTATAGTATTATGGGCCACTGTCATTGACCAGAACATCATTATATGATGCATGACTCTATTACCAAATATCTTAGAGTTGTCATGAGATTAATGCACGTGAGAACTTTTTAAAAAATGCAAAGCACTGAGCCGGGCTCAGTGGCTCAGCCTGTAATCCTGCGCTTTGGGAGGCTGAGGTGAGTGGATTGCCTGAGCCTGTGGGTTCGAGACCCACCTGGGCAACTTGGAGAGACCTCATCTCTACAATAAATCAAAAAATTAGCCAGGCGTAGTAGTGTGCACCTATAGTTCCGGCTACTTGGAAGGCTGAGGCGGAAGGATCGCCGAAGCCCAGC